AACAAAAAAGGCCAGCATCAGCTCTGTTTGATGTGGGTGCAATGGGAAGAGGACTTTTGAGCTTATGTTATAATGATGATAGAAGGTTTTGCCTGAATTAGCGATTAGAGCTCCTTCATTACAAATGCTTTTTCATTCTAAGACACTTTGGAGTACATTAATGCTGTTGTAGGAATGTTTAAGGCTCAGGAATTTGTGGTATTTTATAGTTAAGCAGATTACCCAGTTTTGATCTGTAGGTAGTCTGCATTGCCCTTGCATTTCCATTTTAAACAAGGCAAAGAGAAGTAGGAGGAAAATTAAAACTATGGCAACCAAACGTAGGTGGCAAAAATCTCACCTCTAGGTGGCAGCAAAGAAAAGTAAATATTTTCTGCCAACTAGTGGTCATCCAGGTTTTTGCAACTCAGAGCTAATAGTGGTATGAAAATGGCCCATATGGTGCTGCTGTCTGGATAGCCACTCTGTGCAGTACTGTAAGGGCAATGGTGGGCAGTTCTGTTTTGTCAGCCCCTGCAGGAAAAGCTTCCACCAATAACTTGAAGGAATGGAATGTGTGTGAATGACCTGGGGTGGGGGTGGGGGGCAAGGGCAAGAGATGCTGCCTAGGAAACAATCTGACAAGGAGCCTGAGTGGCGTAGGAGACTAATGCCTCCTAAGGCAGCATTTAACATCCAGCTGCCTGCAATTACTGCGAGTTCAATTCTCACCAGGCTCAAGGTCGACTCAGCCTTCCATCCTTTCTAAGGTGGGTAAATTGAGGACCCAGTTTATGGGGGCAATAAGCTGACTTTGTATAAATATACAAAAGTATGAAGGCTATTGCTTAACGCATTGTAAGCCGCCCTGAGTCTCCGGAGAAGGGCGGCATATAAATCAAATTTAAAAAAAAGAGAGAGAGAGAGAGGCAGAGGCCCCCAATGGCTTAATGCTCAGAGAAAGAAACTTAAAAGGACTCACCTTAATGCATCAAGGAATTTAAAATGGTGGGAGGAAATTTGTACTTTCACACTTGCAAGAATCTATTACAGTAGCCTTAGCTCATCTAATTGTATTTCCTATCTATTTTACTTGGGAGGGCTGACACTGAACAGAACGAATGCCAGGGTAGTGCTTCTAAGTTCCAAGCACTCAGTCCAATTCTCCCCGTGCCACACCCTTTTTTAAATGTAGGATGAGGACATAATTAGGAAAATTTGGGATTGTGCAGAAATGGACAGATTAACTTTAAAAATTAAAGTTAAAGAAGACTCGAAATATTACAGGACATGGAATAAATTTGATGAATGGATAGAGACAAGAGGCAGAAATGAGAGGGAAGTTTATGAATGTCAGTACAACAAAGATGTATAAAACTATGGATATAATGTGGAGAAATTTGTAAATAAGCTAATGTAAGTAGAAACTTAGTTGAAGTTTTCTTTTCTTTTCTTTTGGTTTTGTTGTTGTTGTTGTATTGTTGCAATTATAGGAGCTGCTGATCCATTTCTACAGAGGAATTATTGAGTTTGTCATCTGCACCTCTATAACTGTCTGGTTTGGTTCTGCAACCCAACAAGACAGACACAGACTTCAGAGGATAATTAGAACTGCAGAAAAAACAATGGCTACCAACCTGCCTTCCATTGAGGACCTGTATACTGCACAAGTCAAAAAGAGGTCTGTGAAAATATTTACGGACCCCTCACATCCTGGACATAAACTGTTTCAACTCCTACCCTCAAAACGACGTTATAGAGCACTGCACATCAGAACAACTAGACAAAAACAACTAGTTTTTTCCCGAACGCCATCACTCTGCTAAACAAATAATTCCCTCAACACTGTCAAACTATTTACTAAGTCTGCACTACTATTAATCTTCTCATCTTCTCATCATTCCCATCACCCATCTCCTCCCACTTATGACTGTATGACTGTAACCTTGTTGCTGGTATCCTTATGATTTATATTGATATTGTTTCCTGATTGCTTATTTGTACCCTATGACTATCATTAAATGTTGTACCTTATGATTCTTGACAAATGTATCTTATTTTATGTACTCTGAGAGCGTATGCACCAAGACAAATTCCTTGTGTGTCCAATCACACTTGGCCAATAAAAAATTCTATTCTATTCTATTCTATTACTGTTAACATAGTAAAGTTATAGTTATTAGCAAGTATGTTATTTATCATTGATCTCTCTCTGGTTGTACATTATTTGCATTATTATCCTGACATGGCACTGTCTTTTCAATAAAATAAAATAAAATAAAATAAAATAAAATAAAATAAAATAAAATAAAATAAATAAAATAAAATAAAATAAAATAAAATTAAAATAAAATAAAATAAATAAAATAAAATAAAATAAAATAAAATAAATAAAATATAAAATAATAAAATAAAATAAAATAAAATAAAATAAAATGGAATGTTGATCTATCATCCTAATGATCACAAGATATCAACCAAGTCTTTGCCCCTCTAAATTGCAAAGTAATGATTGTCTGGACCTGCGCAGCCTGAGATGTAGCCGCTGTCTGAGAGAATATTCTTGGAGCTGCAATTCAAGAAAGGAGTTTTGAGTTCGTGCAAGGTAATTTCTCCAAAACTATGTCTATTGTCAGCCAGTTGACCAAGGTAACAAAAAAGCAGTGGAAAATTTGTCTCTCTTGGCTGCCATCTAGCGGTCTGGATTTGTGCAGCTTAGATACAACCACTAGGTCAGGATTGAGGGGCTGGAGAAATTATGGTAATGATTCTTCTGCCAATCACAGAATAAATAATCACCCAAAAGACTAGAAGGGGGAAGGCATGGCCACAGCCTGAAGTCATACCTATACCAAAATATATTCTATGATGGTATAAAACATAGTTGCAGACTGAAATCATGTCTATATCAGGTTATTTGGCATTCGTTTTTTCCAAGGAAAAATCCATGAGAAAAAAAAGGGCATTCCTGATAGCAGTAGTCCTATTAATTTAACCTACTATTACTTACATTAATTCCAGAACAATCTAATCGATTTCAAGGCTTTTCAGATCAGTCAGCTGACCCACCTCCTTTTTTTTTTTTTTTTTAAGGTTAAGCATCTCTGGAAGCTGCAATTTTGATCTCCCTTATAGCCAAAACAACATTGTAGACACAGGTGCACAGCCAAGGGACTACCCTGAAGGGGCCACAGCAGACCAGTTGATCCAATTATAACTGAGCTGATTGCCCTCCCACTCCCCACATCACTTTGAGCCATGGTGGCGCAGTGGTTAGAATGCAGTATTGCAAGCTAATTCTGCAGACCGCCAGCAGTTTGATTCTCACCAACTCAAGGTGGACTCAGACTTCCATCTTTCCGAGGTCGATAGAATGAGGACCCAGAGTGTTGGGGGCAATATGCTGACTCTGTAAACTGCTTAGAGAAGGCTGTAAAGCACTCTCAAGCTGTATATAAGTTTAAGTGCTATTGCTATTTGAGCCTCCTTTTCCACATGTCCTGGATTGTTTGGACACTGTGCTATTTACGGGCCCGGATACCTTGGACAGTCTTCAGCCAGGCTCTGTAGCAGGTGATTAATGAGACAGAGGCTGCATTATAAGGATGTGTCTTCAAGAAACAATAAGTGGGACATTTTTGTATTTCAGTAACACAGTCTCTCTCTCTCTGTGTAGAGGGAGACCTTGCCCATAAGTAGAAGGCTGTTTGTTCCATAACACTGGCTGGAGTACATACAAATGAGGGCCATTGTGGTGGCAGGGCCCAGACTAAGGGAATCTCTCCTTTGGGGTATTAGAAAGATTCAAACAGGGTTTTCTTTTTCTTTTCTTTTTTGTTCCTTTGAATCAGTGTTCACTCCTGGTGACTGCCTGGCAAATCCTTGCAATTCCCTTGGCAAGGTTTTGCAGTAGTAGTTTGTCATTGCCTCCTTCCTAGGGCTGAGATAGGGTGACAGGCCCAAAGTCACCTAGCTGGCTTTGTGCCTAAGGTGAAACTAGAATTCATGGTTTTCCTGTTTCTAGCCTGATGCCTTTTGTTTAAATAAGTTTGTATTAAACGTTTTTCAAAGATAAAAACTAACACAAACTAATAAAAAGAAAAAGCAGAAAGGAAAGAAAGGAAAAGGACAAAAGACAAAAGTAATGAAAGAAAGAAGAAAAAGAAATAATAAAAAGCTTCCAATTTTCTCTGCAGCAAATATAGCAATAGCATTTAGACTTATATACCCCTTCAGAGTGCTTTACAGCCCTCTTTAGTGGTTTACAGAGTCAGCCTATTGCCCCCAACAATCTGGGTCCTCATTTTACCCACCTTGGAAGGATGGAAGGCTGAGTCAACCTTGAGCCTGGTAAGATTCGAACTGCCAAATTGCAGGCAGCCGGCAGTCAGTAGAAGTAGCCTGCAGTACTGCATTCTAAACACTGCGCCACCGCGGCTCTAAATATAAATATAATAACAAAATTATCTCTGCGACTAGAAAAGAAAGCTCACTCTTTTCCATTTCCCCCAATCATCAGAACACAAATCATGAGTTCATTTCCCCCCTCCCCCATTTTATCCAAAAAAATCTATAAGGGGTTTCTAGTCAACCATATATGTAGATACATTGTAATCCACAGTTGAACTCTGAGTTACCTATATTCTCTTATATTGATAGTGTACATATTGTTTACTCTTTAAGCAAAATTAATTTAGTCATCTCTGCTAGTACCTTCATTTTCATAAACCATTCCTCCATCCTAGGTTCAATTTTTAGCCTGATGCCTGAACCAATACACCAAACTGGCTCTCTTCAAATAGTTGGGCCATTTTAAAATGCCATATTACAGCTTTAAAAATGTTTTCAATTTAACAATCTTTGGTGCAGGGGTGGGGAATAATGAATGTATATATTTTCTTGTAATTGTGAACCTTCAAATACACATGTGATGTGGTGCTCTATAAATATTTATATTAAATAATGTGTTGCTTAGGATCTCCTCAATTAAACAATGTCATCTCCTGGGATCAGAGGCCTACCTTCCATATGATGGCACTTGCCCTTTGGTGCAGAATTCCCCCAGTGGTCCATATAGCTTCCATCTTGTTGATATTCAGAAAGCTGCTCTAAACTGTCTGTTCTCCCAGGCAGGATCCTGGATGAGTCCTGCTGAGATTTTGTTGTTGTTTTGTATTTCTTCCCCTGAATGCATCTCATCTATTTCTCTAGTTTACTGTTCTGAGCTTTTATTAGGTAAAGCTCCAAAATTCAGTTGAAGCCAGGTATTCTTTACATCAGGACTGTCCAACTTGGCAACTTTAAGACTTGTGGACTTCAACTCCCAGAATTCCCTAGCAACTGGCTGTGGACTTGTGGGAGTTGAAGTCCACAAGCCTTAAAGTTGCTAAGGATGGACACTCCTGCTTTACATCTAGTAAACAAATAAAATATAATCTCCATTTCACTCTAGTGTTGAATTTGAGTTAATGAAAAATGAAGCTGCCCAGAGTTCGATATAAGATGGGCGGCCATGTCAATGTTTTAAATAAATAAATAAACCCCGCACACAAGGAATACGTGGGTTGCCATCCATACGGGGCTGCCATCTGCTTCACAGTAAAGATATGTGAAGTGTAGAAGCATGGTATATATTTGAAATATGGTGTATTTTGCCCTTCAGTCACAGCCACCTGGGATAGGGAGACCTACGTAGGCGGCAGCACAGAGGGTGGGCTCAGGGCCAGCGAGGCCTAGTAACTTCCTTCTCTTTCAACTTCTCAAATCATCTTCTCATCTATGTCTTTTAAAGGAAGCGTCTAATTGCATATTCAAACCTATGTCTGCAGGAGAAATTACTTCACATTGCATAATTTTTCTGACGCTGCTCAGAATGTGTCTGGTTTCATCTTGGCATAAAACCTGGCGTGGGGGGAGTGGGGGAGGAAGAGAGGAGAAATTACAATTCCACAGAAGGAATGGCTCCATCTGTGGTATTTTTTTAGCGGCACTTTGTATTTGCATGTGGTGATGGCGAGAAGGAGTCATCGATCCACCTAGGGCAAAGCTGTGAAGCTTCGACGACAGCAGCAGGCTGTGATGCTGCTTTCCAGCTTCTCTAGATTTGAGAGGGCCAGAAGAGGTTGGAAGAGAAGTGGGGATTTCCCAGATCCAAACTTCTTCAGTGGACACATTGGCTTCGCACTCTTTTTTGAGACAAGGCAGAGAATAGGGCGTGTTTTCAAATCTTCTCTCCATTCCTTTGAGCATCAACAATGAGGCCTCTTATTTGCACTTCATTAAGAATGGGCGTTAACGTTTTTCTTTCTTTCTTTGTATGTATTTCTCTAGGACGCTTTTCAACCATACAGAAACCAAGAGCTCTGCGCTCCCTTATTTGCCCTGACCAATCTAGAAAACAGGTTGGGAAGCCTATAAGAAGGAGAAGTGAATATTCCTTTTCGCTATGTCCTCCCTCATTCATTTTTAAACAGTTTCACAGCAAATCTTTCCCAATGCAGAAGAAGGAGGGGAACCAGATCATGGGTTCTCCTCTCTTCCGACCAATTAAAATTATGAACAGCTAAAGCCATGCCAGAAGGGAAAGGCTAACCTTTAAAGCCTGAGGGATTAATTCGACACACATACCACATGGTTGGCCAAAGTTCTCAAAGAAGCTTATATTAAGGGCATCTCACCACTGCGCCAACACAATGACTTCTGAAATACAAATCTCAACAACAGCACATGTTTAAGCCCCAACAGCAATAATACACTTTAATTCTAGAAGAAGGTCATCGCTGGGACCCCTTGGGTAAGGTACTTGGCAGGTTGAGCTTCACAACTCAGATGCCCCCTACTGTATTTCAGAATAGGGATGTGGATAATCTCAAAGCACAGGGATGGAGATATAAGAAGATTTGTTTTTCCAAATAATCACATCAAAGCCAAGATTTTGAAATGGGCCAAACCCAAGCTGGCAAGCAAACACCACCCATTAATGACGGGAATAAGCAGAGGACAGATTGCTCCATTCCATAGTGCTCCAAAATTCTGATTAGGTAGATATTCTGTTCTTTAAAATACCCTATTCCGGCCTCAAGATTTTGCAGCTTCAAGTACAGAATTTACATGGATGGATGGATGGATGGAAGAGGGGGGGCTATTTTAAGAGGCACCAAGGAATTTCCTGTTTCAATCTTGCTTGTGCTACCTTCTCTTCAAGATATAGTTTAGATACATACAATACCACATTGTTGGCCATCATTAGCCATAGAAGTGAGGTGTTCTTGTTTTCATGTATTTCTTAATAAATGTAGCTATTTCATTCAAATAGGATAAATAGCATTAAATGATAACTGGGCTAAGGTCATATTCTGCGTTCAAGCAGCTATATTATAAAGATTGGCATTGTTTTACTTTGCAATTGGATGTTCTACTACTTTAAAAAGTATTCGGTTTATGTTCAGGAGCCCATTTTCTAACAACTGGTGTACTTCAAATGTTGGCGTTGACCTAAAGCCTTGGTATCTGTTTCTTTAAGGCACACATCTTCCATTATTAACCCATCCAATCCTTTTGATTGACAGGAGAGGCCTATTTGAACTTACCCCCTATAGACAGACACTTTTCTTTCTGGCATCTGGAAGACAGTGTGACCTTGATGAAAAATTCTCAAGACAAATCAATAAAACAGCCAGATAGTATAGTAAAATATAAGACAGACCCTTAAATAAAGACAAAAGATTGTGAAACATTACATTCTTGAAGATACAGGACTCCCTAGGTCAGGGTTGTCAAACTCACATCGTCACGGCGTCGTCACGTGACCTATTGGGACTTTTCCCCCCTTTGCTAAACCGGGCATGTTTAGTTTGGCAGCCCTGGCCTAGGTGATTATTAGAGTATATTATGTTATTCTCAGGATTCTTTGTTAGCTTCTTACACAGAAAATAGCCTGTAGTCTACCTTGGCTGTTTTCCAGAAAACCTAAGTAGTGTTGGACATGGTTTGTACTTATATGGGAGACCACTAGTTAATGTTATGATTCTAACCTAGAGTGTAAAGCTGAAAAAATACCCTTATGGCAAATTGCATCCCTACATTGTTTATAAAACAACAACAGGGCCATCTAGTCTGTAGAAGCTGAACTTAATTTAAGGTATTATCATAGTTATGCTTCCATTGAAAAATATTCATTGAATGACCACTAGATGGCAACCTAGCACTGCCACCATCCCTAGCTTAGCTTGGCCTTCTAGATTCTAGATAGAACATGTAAGATCACATTTACACCTAGCCAAGGCTTGCTGATTGAAACAACACAATTAGGAATCTCACCTAAAGCTGGAACATTTGTGCTGAGAGGTAATCTATGCACACCATGGGATTAATGTACATGAATGCAGAACAAAAACATTCAAATGTCTTCAAATCATCCAGGATTCCCATTTCAAATATTAGTAACGTAAGCATAAAGTATCACCTTTCAGTGGTATTTATCTTTCCATTGCTTGTGTAATAAGCAAAATTTAAGGTGTTTTGTTTTCCAACAAGTACTGGCTTTATTCTCATTGAACATCAGACTAGAAAGAGGATCTGTCAACGGCTGAATCGAAGAGTCCTGTTTGCACACCTTGTTCTGTATGGTACGTAAATGGCAAATTCTTTTAAAGTAAATAATTTTGTATATGCCCGTTTAACGTTGATTAATAAGGTGGCAGAAACAGTTGCTACTTAAAGTTATCTTTCTCAGGGAAGGGAAATGCAGCTTTTAAAAAAGTATGTTTATTTTATTAAGAATGGCTAAAACAACATTTTGACAAAGCCTATCCAAGAAAAAGACAGAGCTCCAAGATGCTCAAAAATGATTTGCAATAAATAAATAAAGAATCTGATTATTTATTTTATAAAGACTTTGTTGAGGGAGAGGGGCCTGTTTTCCTTCTTCAAAATCTTGCACTATTATCTGGTTTATTTATATCCAAGCATTTCTCAAAAAGCGCCAGGTAGCATCTTTGAGTTAGTCTCAATTTTTATCATCGTAACAATCCTGTGAGCAGGATGAGCTGGTAGGAAATGACTGCAAGAGTGTTACTTTCATAAATTAGATTAGAAAATATTTATTTCTCTCAGTGACCCGATGAAACAGAACACGTATAAACTAAATGCAGGGTGGGGGGATCCATCTACATAACCATCACAAATGGAACAGGTGAACATTTGATTGAGTGTACAATATTATGAATTTTAATACCTGTAATCCAAACTATTGAAATAATTATTAAATAGGGGATCCAAATAATGTGATTTCTCTATTTTATTTCTATATAACAGAAGATAAGACAATTTGAGGATGTAAGATGTGTGAGTTGACTATCGGTATTTGTGCTCATTCACACAGCTATACAAAACTTTGTGAGCCAGTCTGGGGGAGTGGTTAAGGCATCAGTCTAGAAACAGGAGACTGGGAATTCTAGTCTCACCTGAGACACCTGAGCCAGTCACTCTCTCTCAGCCCTAGGAGGCAGGCAATGGCAAACCACTCTGAAAATCTTGTGCAGAAAATTGCAGGGAGAGTTCAGTCAGCCATCAGGAATCAACACTGACCTGAAGGAACCAGAGCACAAAACAACTCAAAGAAATAGTGCAAGATTGGAAGATTTGGAAATACCTGGCCCATAGAATCGCGAAGAATCAGACACGATTGAATGGATATCATCATCATCATCATCATCATCATCATCATCAAGCAAGTCTTTGACTCTGGACCTCCTCAGTCCCATAATTTTTATCATTTCACCCATAAAACTATGGATTAATATAAATGTATCAGAGTTGTTAATGAACTTGAGAGTGACCAGTCATAACATACTATTCATCCACCTATGGAATTCTAAATTTCCACTCAGAACCCTCTTTGTTATTTTATATTACGAATTTGAATTATTTGTCCTCTTCCTTTCTCCTTCTCAGTATTATTTATCCAGTGTATATGCTGCCCAATTACCAAGTGGTTCTGGGAGGTTTACAGATAATTTAAACATTAAAAAGGGCATTAAAAACAACAAGAAACAATAGGAAGGGTAAAGATGTCAGGATGACAAACTGAGTGGAAACAAACAGAAAACAACCTTTGTTAAAAGCGGGCTTTCAATCACACTTGCCAAAGGCCTGGGTAAAAGTCAGGTCTTGAGGCTCTTTGGAGATAACCAGCAGGATGGGGGCCATTCAAATCCGGGCAGCAGGCACTACAACAGAAAAAGCA